GACAGTTCTTTGAGAAACAAGGTCAAAGAACAGTTTCCTTCTTAACATTTCCACCTTTTGGTCTGATTAGTAAGTAATGACACTAAAACAGAAACACTAGAAATCTGAAGCAATAGAAAGTTCTGAAACAATGGGTCTAATTCAAGAAAAAGTTATGCAGAGAGCCTCTCTCTTACCCCTTCCCTCCTCTCTATCCCCCGATATGGTTCACTTTTATTAGGCAGGAGCCTGAATTCTGATTCTCGCTGCCACCATTGTCTGCTCAACTACATCCAGAAGAGAAGTCTTAGCTCGTAGATGTGCTGGAAAAACACAGTGGAAAAGGAGATGAGAAGATTTAATGGCCACCTTTGAGAACCTTTTCTTTCTTACGTTCTTTCTCTCTCACAAAAAAGAAAGATCCTGTTCTTAGAGGAATGCACTTCTCCTGCAATGATGGGAGTCAAGGGTTTATTTCCTCTTCTTCTCCCACTAATATTCCTAATCTGCCTTTAAAAATGAGACATCAACTGCCAGTGTCTTCTAATGTAAATGGTTTAACAGCGTATTAAAACAGTCCAGTCAAGTTTTCCACATCTCTGTAATTTTCACTATAGATTCTCTGGCTTTTAAAAAATACTTTGAGGTAGAAAGTTAATGTTACTCCAATTAACACAGTAAAGAGGAAGAACAACATATGCTTTTCTTAAAGTCGGCTCCCCTTCCCAACCCTTCACTTTATTGTCCCCCAAATGAACAAAAGAATAAATGACTAGAGATGACTCCAGAATTCAGGACACATTCATCTACCAAACAGATCCACAGTACCTGAGGTCCCAATCTGTTTTAATTCTGATCTGATATATATTTTGGGTAAAAAGTTCTTACTGCCTCTACTCTGATGGAACCTATTTTAATTTACTTTTAACCTTTCTTGTGAGGAGGAACAAATGAAAGCAGATGACTCTGTGCTATTTTAAAAGGAGCCAAGGGAGTCTACACAATGAATATTTATGTGGTAAGAGAGAGCTCTGGGCTAGGACCAAGCTAAAGGTGATAGAATGTTGTCTGTGAGCCAGGAGCTAGATTCTGATAATGCTACACTTTGTAAGGATTAAAGGTCTCCCTTTGATCATTCCCAAATTTACTTTTCCTGCCCGTGGTACAGTGTTCATATCTGCAAGTTAGCTAACATTTGATAGAATGTCTGTACATTGGGAACCATTTTGTTACTCAAGAGGCTTAAGTTCCTCTCTTAGTACTCATGTAGAAGTCCTACAAGTAAGAATGTTCCATCTGAAAATTCATCAGTTAAAAAAAGATTCCTTTCTGGTTAGCACCAGAGAATATATAAGTAATGATCTGTAAAATTTGAGTGTAGGCTCCACTGGCAGTAAAGGAACATATTGTCGTTCAGGAAGGCTCTCAAATGGAGTTGCACTTTAAAAAGATTTTTGTGTCATGTGATTTTTAATTCGGGTTTAGGTATATCAGCAGCATCTACTTTTATTTAAATTGCTATAAAATTCTTTTTGGCATTCTCCTAGGTCAAAATGCATATTCAGTTTAAAAATTTGCAGTGTAGTTTTAGGAAGGTAAAGAACTATAAGTGTTAACCTATTTCAACACATATTTAACATTAACACAAGATTCAAGGAGGAGGTTGTTGAAGGAGGAGGTAGTTGTGTAGACTTTCATGTGCAGAGTTTTATCATTAAGATTAATTTCCCATTCTTTTCTTTTAAGAGAAGCACACACAGTAAATATAGATATAGTTTCTCATGTTATGTTTGTGTTAACTTAGAAAACTTAAAATGTGTACTTAAAATTGTTCCTGGCTTTATTCAAAGTATTCAGAAGTCATAAAATCTTGAAGCGTTTTCCTTTAGTCATTGAAGTTTTTATCTTCAAATAATGTTTAAGCTTTATAGATAGTTTCTTTTTATCATAAAAACAAATATCTTCTTTACTCTCCAGTTTTGGATAATTTTACAACATAACTTAAATGATCTTCCCAAGACTGGCTAGTGTCTCCTTTAGGAGTATCAAATGGGTGAGTGTGAGGGTTACCCAGACGTCAGATAAGTCATCCCCTCAGAAAGACAGATCAGCCAAGCACAAGACATAGCTCTTATAGTTTTGGGTGTAAATCTGTCATTGTATCTTTTGTTGTACCTATACTTTAAGTCTCAGATACATCCTTTCATCTAGTAAAAAACCACCTAACTTTATATACTGTTTTGTAAATCAGATCATATAACCGTCAAAGCTCTTGACACATGAGGTACTCAACAAATGCCTGTTTTACAACTCTAATAGTTGCTCATTATGGGGACTTTAAGCTATTTGCTTAGTGTTACATGCCCCAGTGTCTTTAGTCAGTTGGAGACAACATAATTATGGTATTAGTAAGAATATTACAATTAACTCAAAATGCCTCATTATTTCGCAGTCACTGTTACCTGAGATATTTCATGCAAGTTGACCTTAGTATTTCCCAGGGAATTATCTTTCTCATACTTATTGGATGATTAGCACAATAAATAGAAAATATAATTGGTATAAATATATAAAATATATATAAATATATAAAAATATAATTGGTATAAAATATTTTGAAGTGATACATATCTGTACATATTTTTAGACTAGACATTTCTATTATTATTCTGATTTTTCCTGAAATTGAATGTGTGTTTCTAAAGATGACAACATAACTGAGAAAAATATGTACTAAAATAGATTTCCTTTGAATTGCTATCCTTTCTGAAAGGGGTTTTGTACTTAGATTCATTGGTTATTAAAGATTATGACCTGTCATTTAGGTGTATTTTCTTTAGATTGAATCCTACATGAGAAAATATACACATAGAAATTTTTCTGATAGATACTTCAGATGAACCTAAAATCTATGGATGTTATGAGTTTAAATATTATGATATGGAAACTCTCTTTTTTCTGTATCATCATCAGCATTAAAACGTTAAAATCAAAAATCCTGAAATGGCACTACCTACATTTCTAGCTCATTATAAAAGGTCAGTAAACCTTGTCTTCCTCAGAACAGGCCTCTAAGTTTCTTTAATTGTGACTTAACTGGAGAATCACTTGGGAATCTACCAGCAATGGGGAGGGATAGTTTCTACTTCGGCCTAAAAATGCCCTTTTTTTGGTTATGAAGCACATTTTACTGCTGAAGCCATATTTAGCACTCTGTTAAGTATGGGAAAGTATCAATCCTTCAAATAGAATGGCAGGGTCTTTGAACTATCAGTTTTGTCAAGAGAAATACATAAATGAAGAACAAAAAATAGTGATAGCTGAAGAAGCTTGAACGGTTAGATTCCATTCAGATCCAGGCATCTTCCAATGGAAGGAAAGTTGAGATAACTGGATATCCGTAAGGTAGGCCAGTCGGTTACCTAGACAATGTGCTCACTCACTGGCATATTTGAGCTCACAGAAAGGCAAAACTAAAGGGGATTTCAGGGAAGAGAAGTAAGTTTCTAAAAGGAAGGTGACCTGCTGAATGTAGGTCTTAAGTAATACACATTTAAACTTTTGTGTTACATAGAATGCAGAACAACATGTTAGTCAGAGCACAGGTCAAAGAAAGACTACTTGAGTACTTCTAACAGGATGAAATTACAATGAATAAGTTCTTGATCTTGTAAATTTTGCTATTTGGCTACTTTGAAACTTGTTCAGTTTGGTATTTGATGCATATTGACATAAAACTTTCATACTAGTAACTGTGAGTTTTTTGGTGTTCAAAGCCCAAACTAGAATTTGTCAGTGATGATTTCTTTTCATAATTCAATTTCTTTTGTGCTTGTCATTTTGGGTATTTAATAGGAGACTGGGGCATAGCAACCCTGTGTAGGGAAGTAGATGTGAACAGTTAATTTCAAAGACCCCAGAATACTTATGCAGAGCAGTTCCCAAAGCTCTCTACTACTTGGGAGAACTCCAGCAGGTTTTCATATAGTCTGACATCAGTTAGATGTAGGATCCCAGCACCGCCTCTCAGGACCCATAAATAGCAGTTCTCGTGAGTTTCCTTAGGATTTGGGCAGTATAAAGGGATACAAACACCAAGAAGAACGTGCTCTCCTGACTTTCTCAGGGTGCTGTTTCTCCTTTTACTTGGTCCAAGATTGCTCTGCAGAAGCAGTTTCTCCCTCACTCTTCTCTTGTACTTTCTCAAATAAACTTGGCCACTGCTTTTTGCTCATTTTGTCTAATACGTTTTTTCTTTTTTATTAATTAAGTTTATTGGTACATTTTAGGTTTCATAATGATCACTTTTATCATAGGGAAGTGTACATGATATAACTTGTTTTTCTTCCCGTTCCCCTACCCTCCCTTCAACTCCTCTTTTCCTTCTTATTTACAAAAGCCTTCTTATTTACAAAAGCCTTGTTTCATTTTTTTCCTTTTACTTTCCTTCCTTTTCCTGGCCCTATCCTTGGTTTCCCTTCCCACTTGAATGAGTTTGAATCTAATTTCTGCTTCTTAGTAACTGTGTCATCTTGGAGAAATCATTTAAATTCTATTTGCCTCAGTTACATTCATTTATACAGTTGTCTAAGTATTAATTATTATAGTGCATAAGAATAGCATACAAAGTTTTAGGAACCTAAGAAATACAGTTTTGATACATATTAATTATATAGCTATATTATTAGTAACTTCAGTACAGAAAACCTCTCTCACTTCTTTATATAACAACTCCAATGTATCTATGTATAATTCAGAAAAATTGAATAAAAAGAATAGATTACAGTCATTTGAAAATGTTACATCCTGATGGACATCCTACAAATAACCCTTTAAAGGGCCTTAACTATCATCAGCTGAAGTTATTTAAGTAGATGTCTATTAGACTTTTGAATTATCTATTTAGTCGTAAGTGTGATACCTAGTGAACCTGGCTTGAGTGTCTCTCCCAGAAGTGTCTACTGTGTGCTGAACACCAAATAAAGATGTAGACTGGTACAAATTTATTTCTGCTATTATAGATTGGAGTCATAGCTATGTGTGGAAGCTGGCCATGAAAAATGCAAGCTCAACTTTCCCCTTGAACCTACAGTAATTTATCTCAGAACATTGTTGAGTCCCCTGAACTGTAGGTAAGTAACTCATTCTCAGCAGCTTTAAATCTATGCGAAGCAAGTTGTTGCTGTGCCTCATGCCCTTAGCACTGTGCTCCCTGGCTTGGAACTGCAAATGTTACCTCTTTGCTTTAGGAGAGGAGGATGTGAAATACGATGTGCTCAGGCAAAAGTCTTTGGGGGAAAATACCTAGTAGATGAGAGAAGAAATTACAAGTGAGCTACATTCCTTCTGTTAAGGGAAAACAGTCCTAGAGGTACCAGAGGAAAAAAATCACTTGTTCACTCATACAAACATCATTTGACTACATTTTATTCATTTATGCTACATCTGATTACTAAGCCCTGATTCACAGATATGTTTTACTCAGCCCAGAAACTAGGGTGGTGAACACAGTGGACCTGCTTTGCCCCTGGAGCTGAGCCTCTTTATAACACACTGCAGCAGTGAATGAGAGCCAGCTCTTTCCATGAGGTGTACTGAATGAAGAGGCAGAAGGGAAAACAGCAACAATATCTGGCATGATTAGGGGTGTAGGGACACTGTGACTTCTGAAGGTCAGAGAGGTTTTCCTGGGGAAAATCATGGGTCATTTTAGGTAGAAGGCAGCTTTTATCAAGGCATACAAGGAGAGAAGAAACTGGTAGTGGCTCTGCACAGCTGCATGGACAAATGGTGATTCTGGAGCGATAAGTAGTGACCAGATAATGAAGGCTCTTGAGATCCATGTTACAGAGTTGTATACTTTATTCTAGGACTCTTGGGAGGTGATTATGGGTGTTGATTAAGGAATACCATGAGCATCTTCCAGGTGTTAATACAAAGAATAAACTGGAATCCTGAGAATGGGGGCTCCAGGAGGGAGGCTGTTTCAGGACTAAACAGATGAGTGCTGCTGTGGTCTCAGCAAAAACAGTGATCATTGGGCTGCAAACAATTGGGTGGATTTGAGAAATGCTAAGGAAATGATTGGTGGCAGTGGGTGGTGAGGGAGAGGGTGGAATAATAGATGACTCCCAGGTTTCTGGTGTGGGAAACTGCAAGGAAGATGATGTCATCCCCTATGAGATGGAGGTGGAGGAACAAATTCAGGATGAGGAGCTATGATTAGTTCAGTTTGAACATATTAAGTTTGTTGTGTTTGTGAAACATTTACCTGGTGATGTTCAGTAGATAATTGAATGGGAAAGCAGGAAGTTATTTGGGTGAGGATGGCCAAACCATGGGAATGGAATCCTGGTGAGCATTGAAGTAGTCAGCACAGAAAGAGAAGAATAAACAGGAAGGAAGAGAAATCAGGGTGTACAGAGTCACACAGAAGAATGGAAGAGTGGAAGAGAACCGTCTATGAAGAATGAAGTAGTAATGTTAAATATTGACAGAGGTCACCTACATTGGCTATAGTGAGATTTATCTACCAGAGATAGCAATGAAAATGTCACTTCCTGTTAAAGTGACCATCTATCAAGATTTGCTTGGAACTGTCCCAGTTTAAACTTGTTGTTCCAGCATCATTATTATTTGTGCCTACATTTGGATAATAAGTTGCAACCCTGTCATTGGTTGGTGAGAGCAGTTTCAGCCCATGTCAAAGACAAATTGCAGTGGATTTAGAGATGAACTGGAGGAGCGAGACATCAGATGAGGTAGTTTTTTGAACTGTATAGCAAGGCATTTGAGAAGGAATTTCAATATTGTGTGAGTATCAAAGTAGAGATTTCCATGCTTTCTCAAATCCTGGTCATAATTCATAGCTCTGTATTTCCATATTATATGAATTCTTAAAAGTAGGTGAGAAGCAAGACTGTTTTGTTTTTTGTATCACCCATTATGGAGCTAGTTGTTATTATTTTACAGAGCAAATATTTTATAAATATTTATTATTCTATTTTCTTGAAAATTAATAATAGTTACTTTAAGTTATCTTCATCTGTCCCAAATGATAAAATAGAAAAATATAGTCTTAAATTAATCAGGAAGGCTTATCTTGTCTTTTAAATTATTTTGTATAAAGAAGCATAAATAATAATAATTAGATTGAGGGTAAATTTAAACCCTCAACATGTTCCAAGTTTATTTATACCTAATGTGTCTTTTTGTGTTTGTGTGTGAGGAATTGAATTCAGGGTCTTGAATGTGCTAGGAAGTTCTCTGAACTATATCCCTCACTCATTTAAGATATTTCATTTTGTGATAATATCTTGCTGAAGTTTCAAGGCCAGACTTGAACTTCTTGACTCCTCTGCTTCAGTCTCTCAGTATCTGGGATTATAGGTGTGTACCACAATGCACAGCTACTGCATGTATCTTTTAATTTTTGGAATTTACAGCATAGGATCAAATAAATGTCTACAAGAGTTTAAGCATTTAAAGTGAAAAAATGCTATATGTGTATTTCTCTATAGTATTTTGATGGAGAAATCATTAAAAATATATCTGAAACGATTAGAAAACTCAGCTACTATCATACATAAAACAGAATCTCAGGACAACAAAAAGTGATATAAAATGGAAACAAATTTTTGAGCCCATGTGGCTATTGGGTTAGATAGAGAGCCAGGCTAGAATCCCGAGTCCTTTAGGTCTCCTTTCAGAAAGGTGCAAATGCAAATAATCAAGAACTTGATAACTGTCCTAATGTGGTCCTTCTTTGTCACTGCTTGCTAAATTTGATTATGGAAGTTCAAGTTTCCAGCCTTAAGCCTGCCCCCACAGTTGGAGGATCCATTCAATGATTAGGCCTCTGTAAGGTTTGCTTACGGTGACTTTTAACAGTCCCTTTTTATTGTTAAATTAAAAGGGTAGGGGGTGGGATATTTCTGTGACAAATACTTCTGTTTGAAAAATGAGGCTAATGGGAACCAATAAATTGTATAGTAGTCATAATTTTCTGCCATATCTAGACCTGTGAATAGCCCCATAAGATGCCATACAGAAGGATTATTTTACCCTTTTAACTGTTTCTGAGAGTTATTAATAAAAGAGCAGTCTATTGTTAATCTGAGCCCACACCATTATGTAAACTAATCAGTGTAACCAAGAAGTTCCCAAACATATTTCAAATACTTGCACATTAAACATTCAAGTTGTCACAGACCAAACACCACATTTAGAAGATTGTTTGCCATTTGTTCTTTGAATCAGTATTAATCAGACTCACAACCCATTGTAACTGCTTTTCTGTATAGGCTTGAAGTGATTTGTCCAGACTTTTCTTGTATCATCTCTATTTTGTCTCTCTTGTGTGCATTTGTTTTTCAGTGAGCAATGGCCTCGATTTTGCTTGTCTTTGGAATGGTCACCACTACATAGGGCCCGAATGCCCTACGGCTTTCCAGGAACAGAAAGAAGATCTCATCTTTGTCTGTTTCAGTGGAAGTCTGGTGGTAGGAATACTGTTGCATGGGCCACAATTTCAGCACACCATCAGGTGAATGGGACCAATCTTTCTTCTTCCAAAACATCAGAAATTGAGCACTTGGAAAGGAGATTTGGCCAAGATGACCCATTTGCAGGCTGGACTCAGTCCAGATACTATAGAGAAAGCACGCCTGGAACTGAATGAAAACCCAGATGTTTTACATCAGGATATTCAGCAAGTCAGGGACATGATCATCACCAGGCCTGACATTGGATTTTTACGTACGGATGATGCTTTCATTCTGAGATTTCTCCGAGCCAGGAAGTTTCACCAAGCAGATGCATTTAGACTCCTGGCCCAGTACTTCCAGTACCGCCAGCTAAATCTGGACATGTTCAAAAACTTCAAGGCGGATGATCCTGGCATTAAGAGGGCTTTGATTGATGGGTTCCCTGGAGTGCTGGAAAACCGTGACCATTATGGCAGGAAGATTCTTCTGCTGTTTGCTGCCAATTGGGATCAGAGTAGGTAAATGTAGAATAGTGTCTTTACTTGGTTTTTTTTTTCCCATGGCATTATCTCTGCATGTCTGGGGTTGTATTACTTTATAGTAATGAAATTTCATTTTAAAAATTTACTCCATATACCCACAAAGGAGGTTTTAAGGCCATAGGTATTTTGTCATCAAAGGCAATCCTAATTTCTCAGTGATGTCTTGAAGCAATAGAATCACAGTGTTACAATTGTAAGACACCTTAGAAGTCAGTATTCTGTAACAAACTTGGTTAATCATTTTAATAAAATTGAAGGTTTATCTTCTGGACGATTCCTACATTCTGTCTTTCATTTTCTCATCTTTAATGACAACACTATAAATGGATTCCATAGATGACCTTAGACCAAGTGTTTTCAACATATAAAACCATTTGTTAGATCCTCCCATGACATCAGTATCTTTTATCCTGAGTAATAGATCTTGCTACCCCAAATACCTACTATACATTGCTCCTTGAAATTCCTATAAAGAGCTGGAAATTCTACATCTCCCAGATTTAAAGCATCATCTTCCCTCTCTATACCTGCTTTTCTCCTTGTCTCCCAAGAAAGAATCTGAGAGTCCTTCTTGATTGCTCCTTGCTTTGGTCTTCACATCCGATTAATTTCCAAGTCTTTCTTCTTATAACTTCTCAGATCTATTCTCTTTGCTTCCATTGTATTTGTCTTAGTTTATATTCTCATCATTTCTCCCTGGTCTGACTAAAATGGACTGCTAAGCCGCATCTGTTTTTGGTCTCTTCCGAACCACTGAGGTCTGCACTACAGTCAGGTTGACTGTTCCAGAGTTTCTGGTATCTCTCCCTGATTAAGGATCTGCCATGGCCTTCAAAGTAAGTAATTGTGTTCTGTACTTTCTGCTTTGTTCTATCCCCTGTCCTTCTATTCCTTGGTCTAGATGGTTAAACATTGCCTTGAATAGCTGAAGGAATTATGTATTCACAGCCCTTTGGTTTCTCCCTTAGTCTCTCCAAAGGAGAGACCAATTATCTCATCACCAATCACCATCCTGTACCCAATCTGCCTATTGATTGATACCAATTTTATGGTTCTCCTGGAAAATAGCACTTATCCACCCCAAATTAGGTCTTCCTTCTCTGTTCATATTTCTATTAAACTTCTGTAAGTAGAGTACAAGAATCATTCTTAACATTGGTGATATTTTTGATACCACAGACTTTGTTAAGCATTTATATCATTTAATTCGCTCCAGAATTTGGTCTGATAGATATTACTATAATTTTTCTTTTACATTTGATGATACAGGCTTTGCTATGTCAAAGAACATACTCCTTGTCACGCAGCTGGTGAAATACAGAGTGGGAGTTGAGCCTAGGAGCCTAACTTGAGAACTAGTTGCTGTAATCTAGCTTTCTTGTGACTGTATGCTTGTCTTGTACATTATCATCCCCCACAAGTGTAGCTTCCTTGAGCATAAGGCATATGACATGATATCTAATCAAGGCTGGATGAAAAAATATGGATGAATCCATCTCTAAAATATTTCCATGATTTGAGTTTTCACAGAGATATATTCATTGAAATTTTCATGTTTCTTTGAAAGACATTGACTTAAGTCTAAAAATACATCAAAGCACCTTCCAATATCATTAAAAGGTATTTCTAGTGTACTTCCTAAGCCTCATATTCCTCTAGGTCCTCTTAAAAATCATAGCAGTGTACTACTTCACACCCATTGGCTACTGTTCTGGTTGACACATTGGGGGAGGGCAATGTAACCCTGGAAAGGTGTGTAACTATTTTAACACTGTCAGTCTAAAGTTTAATGAGGTCTACACACAGACCAATAATTATGAAATGGAATAACATATTCATCATATGTCTTATAATTTACATAGTCAATGAAGAGTTTCTTATTGATTTACCTTCATGAATTTGAACTGTTCAATCAATGAACATTTGGCAAGTGGTAGACTTAGTGGCAGGGCTTGAACTAATGCAAATACCACAAAGACAGCACTTGTCTCTGTCAGTGAGGACTCCACTGTGTAACTCATTGTCTAGTAATGGTGCAAACATGAAAACAGCTACTGTCCCACACGGGATAATTCCTGCTGACACATGCAAACCATAAGCAGTGGACATCAGTGTTAAACTAGAAGGAACGGCTGTCCTCCAGGAAATGGTACATTCACATTTCAGATTTTGAAACCAGAAGGTTTTGATGATTCTGGGGACTAATCAAGCTGACATCATTTGTGCTACATTGTTGCTAGTGTTCTAGAACTTCCATCTGCTGAAACAGATGATGCGGAGAACATCTCTTTGTGGTGTACATATAAGGAGATGAACCATAGTAAAGTATTTCTTTTTGTATTAGAATTTGGTCGGTATTGGGGACTGGGGATTTAGTTCAGCGGCATAAGCGCCTGCCTCAAGCAGGCAGTTGTGAGTTCAATCCCCGGTACCGATAAAAAGACAAAAAAAAAAAAAAAAAAAAAAAAAAAGAATTTGTTCGGTATTTATATCCCAGGATGCATCATAAAGAAGTAACAAATCTCAAAGGAAACAGTCTCAATGTTTATGATCATGATAACCTTGAACAGTTACTCATTTCTCTGTTCCTTAGTTTCCTCTTGTGTAAAATAAGAATCTTGAACTACATGATCCCTGAGATACTTTACAACTCTAATGACTCATGAATGTGTAGTTCATTCAGCTGCATCCAATGAGTGGGAAGGGATTTTCAAACTCACTTTATAGTTTCCTATTTCTCTTTTTGAAGAAATCTCTTTCTTTGCCCACCAGCTTGTCCTAAACATGTTTGTCTTCTCCTCAAACACATTTGTTATTGCCAAGACCTGGCCCCAATGAGGTTCATAAGACCTGGAATAGTTGGAACAACTTTGCAATGCAATTGGTTCACTCTCACTGGGGGCTTCAAGATTACTGGGAAGCGATTTGAATCTCTTGTGTGAAAGGTTTACTAGTATTAAAATAGTTATTAATATTTATTAAAATGATGTAAATATCATTCATCTAATCTCAGACACATGAACAAAAGTACAGAACAGGTAGTAATGGGAAGCTCTGCCTGCAAAGCTGAGCGCAGGCTCTGGTTGCCAGCGTGGGGTGATACCTGAGGAGGCCAAGGCAGCATCCAGGGTTCTGAAGAATGACTGACCTTGTACAGAGGTTGGACAAGAAAGCTGTGTGTCTTCTGTATTTTCTGAGGCTGCCGAACTGAACTCAGATGAGTTCCATAAAAAGAGCACTCACGTATTCACTCATAAAATGAGCACTGACATCCTCCCCCCCCCCAGGGTTATCAGAGTTTATGATCCAACTTAGCAGCTTAGTATGAATTTATCAAGTGTCAACAGGTAAAATATCAAGCCTGTTGGACTATTAGGAAGATTAATCCCAATTGCCCTTGTTGGTGGTATGCAACAGGCAGAACAGAATAGTGCTAAGGTGCTCAAACTCTGAAGTCAGATGGTCAGCCTTAAATCTCAGTTGCCCCTGACCAGCCATGCATCTGAGCAAGTTTCTGAAATCTATGTGACTCAGTTTCTCACCTGTAAAGTGAGAGTGATGATGATCTTAGGTTTTCATTAGTTGGTTCTTAATAGCAATACTTTCTTAAGGAAAAATCAGTAAAATCAGGCAAATGTTTAGGATGCTGTATCAATTACAACATGTAATTACTAGGGAAACACAGCATTTGATACTATTACAGACTTTCTTCGATCTGAATAATTATTAAAAAATATGTAACTGGGACTTCAGGCTACCTTGCTCCATAGTGCTGTATGACAGTTCATTTGTAACTGGGGACTCTGAAAAGCTACCTAATTTTAGTAGCCTACTATTGTTCACTATGACTTCAAGATATAAGAAAAACATTTTAGGAAATGCAGATTGTAAAAGCCATACAGTAGACCAAAATAGTATCCATTAGTGCTACATGCAGAATAGCTGGGCCTCTGTCAGGGAAAAATACCATCAGAAATGCACTGCAAGCCATAATGTACAGAGTCACACTGAATGCTCTTTTGTCAGTCTTTTGTTCATTTTTCACAATTAGAAGTTCAGAAATCAGGAAGAAGGTTGAAAACCAGTTCTTAAAAAACTGGTTCTTTGGGGCTGGGGATTTAGCTCAGCGGCATAAGCACCTGTTCGATCCCTGGTATCGATAAAAACGAAAAAGACCAAAAAAAAAATTTTGTTCTTCAAGGAAAATAAATCATTTTAAGGACGAGCTAAGTTATGGTAATTTACGAGAGAGAAAAAAGGCTGATAAACAACTTGATTACTACCTTCATGTACACAGTTACTTAAAGAAAGCAAAGGATCCAGTAAGGGATCCTTGTTCTAGATTCTAGAATAATCTTTGTCCCTAGTTCTCTGTAGATAAAAGGCTGGCATTGAAGATTAGGAAGCCTCAGCCAGGATCTCAGACCTGTGTCTGAGACAGGGGAAAATTTAAAGAGGTATCAAAAACTCAGTAATTTATTGAAAGTAAATAATATTGCATTAAAATGTTTTAGAAACTAAATCCAAAAATTCTGTAATGAACAAAATGTCAAAATTTCAAAGAACCCAGGATGAGTATTTCTGTTTTTCCCTTCTGTAGGTTTAGGCTCCAATTCGGCTGAGTATGGCACCGTGCAGACTGGTCTTATATCTCCACTGGTTCCAGTCAGTCACAGCTTAATACGTAGCACTACACTTGCCTATACCATATAGCTCCATCCTACCTCACTGTCTCCAAGCATTTTCATATTTAATATTGAGAACTATTTGGGAGACTCAGTATCACACAGGTAGTAATGACAGAGAGCTGGGAGGAGAATGCTTTTCAAGGAGGGAACAGTCTGATCAATGGAAAAACTCGAATGCAGAGCTTCCAGTTTCAAGTTCATGCCAAAGACATCTAGAGCCAATTGCTCAGCCCCTCAGTAGTGTAATGATCCAAAATATCCATGGAACCTCTGCAATGCTGCAAGTGG